AAAAATGTGATATTTCATGTAAATAATGCATGCATACGATTGATATATTTGCTATGGCCCTCGTTTGTGCGTTTTAAGTTATTTTGAAGGTGCATTATCTCACTGTAAGTGAAGTTATTAGAAAACTGTCAAGCTACATTTTCACTGTTTACAATGGCAGGGCCATCTCGTTTACAAGCATGTTTTAAGGCTTATTTCCTGTTACACTTATGCTCCATGGGGATTTAGATTAAACTGCATAAAGGAAAATCTATGTCTTTGTCAGTAGTAGTTTGTTTTTAAATAGAAAAAAAATAATCGATTAAAATCGAAAATTGGATTTGGTGTGAAAAAATTGGAGATTTTTTTTTTAGCCATATCGCCCAGCCCTAGTTTCCGTAAAAACAAGAGCTGCTGACGAGCCTTCTTAACGACCCGGTTAGTGTTTTTGTCCCATTTCAGGTCGAGTTAAACCCAGAAACTTGCACTCCTCTACTGTACAATCTGGACCTGGGAGTTGTCATTAACAACAGGCGTGTGAGGACTGTTGCGACTGAAATCAGGGGTCTCATCATTATCACTGATGAGACCGATGATGATGGTGTCATCAGCGTATTTGACGATCAAGTTCGAGTCAGAGGAAGCCTCACAGTCATGAGTGTACAAGGTAAAGAGCAGAGGACTCAGAATACATTCTTGGGGAGAACCAGTGCTCACAGAAACAACATCAGAAAAACAGTCATTGATTTTTACTCTATGAGATCTGAGTTAAAAAGCTAAAAAACATTTACACATGGCAACACTCAGACCAAGGGACATTAGTTTTTCAACCAGTTTGCTTTGGACAAGACAATTAAAAGCAGAGCTATAGTCAATGAACAGCATTCTCGCCACAGATTTACTACTGTCCAAATGACTGTACACAGAGTTCAGGGCGAAGGAGATCGCATCCTCAACGCTCCTGTTCTGTCTGTAAGCAAACTGGAGCGGATCTACACTCACAGGGATGTTGCTCTTAATTAAGTCCAGCACGAGCCGCTCAAAGGTCTTCATAAGAATCGACGTGAGGGCCACAGGGCGGTAGTCATCGACACATGTCACTGGATACTTCTTAGGAACTGGAATAATGGTGGACTTTTTAAAGCTCACCGGCACCATACAGCTCCTGAGTGACAAGTTAAAGATGTCCGTTAAAACAGGGTGTGGTCCGAGCTGTGGTCCTGGACAAGACCCGCCGGACTTGTGGCAACAGGATGGTCCAAAAGTTGGCTCTTGGCCCAAAGCTCCGTTCCACATGTGTGTCAATGCTGAGGGGAGTGAATTTTTTTGGACCACTCTAGTTTACTTGCTGTGAATTTTTGAAGTCACTCGTTCAAATGAATGGAGCTTGCGCCGGCTGACGAATGTGCAGATGCGTTTTTTCACAATTTTCTTGTGGGCGGGACCACTCGCGGCCATTTTGGATAGCTCCAGTAGAGCACTATTTTTGGTCCATTTGTTTGAACGGCGGAGATAGGCGTGACTACATCAGATAATTTTTACAGTCTATGCTAAGACCATGGTGCAGTCCTGGTAGACCTGGATTTAGTGTCAGAAATAGAATTGTTGATCCTTTGCACAATTTCTGTAAAATCAGCAGGCTTTAAAACAAAACAAAAATGTGATGAATACTATTAAAAATAAGAATATGCATCAAGTAAATCAAAATAAACAAGCCAGAAATTAAATTATTATTAAAGGAAGTATTAAAATCATCTAGATTTACATGGCATCAATTTATGTAAAAAAAGAAAAGCAGAACAGGACCAGACAAGACCACAGTGAATTTGCTGCTAAGGATAGATGTGATCTCTCGTCAGTGAAAGCAGTCTCTGAAAGCATCTCTCCGTCTGAACAAAGTTGTTCTAATGCGCACAATCTGTCCCGCCACTGGTAATTCAAGATTTTTCAAAAAGTTTGCCAGAGCTATGGACAAGTTAGACGGGTTTAAATGATAATTCCTCCTTCTGCTGAAGATCACCCGGCATTAATAAGTGATCCTCAAGTCAAGTAGCACTATGGAGACTTGAAACAACATCTGTCATGTCTGCCTGGGTTCCATCTCTCTGTTTTCATTAATCTCCAGATTTCAGTCGCGTTCTGCTACTGATCCTGTTCTCCCAGAAGGCTCCTGTGTCTTTCATGTGCCATCACCTCTGTCATTTATCCACAGACTTCCTCTAGGGAGCACCACAGAGCCTGTCGGAGCTGGGGGAGGTTGAGGAAGGCAGAGGGAGGCAGAGGGAGGTGAAACAATGTGTGTGAGGGGCGCAGAGGTAATCAGGAGCTGACAGATGGAGAGGAGCCGCCAGGGACTGTATACTTCGACTTTGAGATTGTACAAATGCAAGCAGAGAGAACAGACCTGCGCTCGCTAGAATAGAATATGTTCATCAAACGTATGTCTTCCAGCTATTTTGTGGTTGTTTTTGTTTCATATACAGTATTACACACATATTCTGAATGCAATACTTCGATACTTCATGTCCCCCAAATCTTGGTCGACTAAAGACATACTCAGTCAATTGATTAGTCGACTGAAAAGGGGGTGTGGCAAAAGTAGAATTACAACATTTTAAGATTAAGATTGAGATTAAGAGATTCTTTATTTGTCCCACAGTGGGGAAATGTCAGTGTTGCTTCACCGGTTACAGAACAGTAGGAATGAGGAGCACTCAGCAAAAGATAAGTTAACAATAACTCTATACTAGAATAAAATAAAATCTATAGTTTTAGCATAATAAAGAAGCAAGTATGAAACAACACTGTGGGACAAACAAATGAATGAATTTGAATTGGACCATACAGCACAATGATGTCACATGTTTAGAGGGAGTGTGCAATTGACATGCTAACTGCAGGAGAGTCCACCAAATCTGCTGCCCGTGAAATGAATGTTCCTCTCATTACTACAGCTGTCCTCAGAGGCTTTCACTATCAACCTCACACCGCCGACCATGTGTGACCACACCAGCCCAGGTCCTCCACATCACCATGTTCACCTCCAAGATACCAGGAGCCTTTGAGACAGCAGCTTCAACTATCATGACTGAAGACATTCTGTATACAAATGGTCAGGATCTGTCTCATGGAGGATCTTTTGCAGCATGTTCTCCACATCGGGAGCATCTGAATGCAGTTTGTCTTTGTGACGTTTTAAAGTGAAGGTTTAATACAGAATAATACAAGGTATACTATATATGGTCAAAAATACATATTCCGAGAAAGACGTTAAATTCAACACATGTTATCACAGATGACTTTACAATGTTGTCAATTTGCCAACACAGATCAGAGAATCTAAGAGAACAAAAAACAATTGTAAAGTGTTTTGTGACTCTGGTCTGTGAAAGGCGCTCAATGAATAAAGATTTCTTACTTACATTAGTGGACATTGGGGTGGATAACCAACATCCATAAATGTTAATAGATGTCCATACACGTCATTAAATGTTGTTAAATTTTATCAAATGTTGTTAAATGTCAAGGACCATCACCACTGTCCTTAGACCCTCCTGCATTGACAAGGAAAAACTCAACAAAAAAACCCAGATGGAAAAAAGTTAGAACCCTCGGGAGGCCCGCATTGCTTTTCACGGATGGACAGGAATGATAATTGTAGAAGTGGCAGATATCACCTTTAAGGAGTCAAATGCTCACATTCAACAGCTTGTAGAATGTTGGATAGGTGTTCTGGCTTTTCACTGTTTAGAGCAAGTGTCAGACAGAGTGCGTTCACCATGCCATGACCACATTGCCACTATGGGCCAAAACGGTGATAGCAGCAAAAAAATCCAGTATGGATGAAACAACTTTTATAGTGCAGATGTGCATCGTATCTGATCCACTTGTGTTCCACCTCTGCAGTAAAGGCAGATAAAGCAGATGGAGTCAGTGATAATGTTGGGCTCACGCTCCTCTTGACGACAGGAGGAGGGCTGTGCATTCACCAAAACCACACAATCTCCATCTGTGATCAAAAGACAAGGGCAAACTCCAGAGCAGACTCTCAACTGCTGCTGCGGCTGCTGCTATATGGACATGGAGGACGAAGAAGGAGCTGACATGAGCACTTTTATTGGTAGAAATATGATAGAGATACATACTTGTAATTGCTTATTTAGTTTAGTTTAGTTTATATATGCTTAATTTGTCCCCATAGGGAAATTTGTCCTCTGCATTTGACCCATCCTTCCAACACCACTAGGGCCACTATCAGGAGCAGTGGTCGTCGTAGTACAGCGCCCGGGGACCCATCTGCAGATGTTGATGCTCAACTTGGTTACTACTTGACTACTGAAGCTGCATGACTTTTGCCTATTGTGAATGTTTTATAGTGGTCGGGGGGAAACTGGAGCACCCAAAAGAAACCAGAAAACCTGGAGTTAACCTATGCAGACAGGGGACAACATGCAAACTCTACTCAGAAAGCCCTGTTCCAAACAGGATCACCAACCACTCACCCCCCCAAAAAATATGTTTTAAAGTTCATTTTTGCATTACTTTTATCATCAAAAGTTTCATACAAGTTCAGGTATTAGCTAAAATTTTATTTTAATATTGATTTTCTTCTTTTATCATCTTTACTGAAAACAATCTAATGTGGTTATTTGTGTGTAAAAAATGCAAAAAAATTCTCCCTACAAAAGAAGAAGAAGCTAAACCCTGTGAAATTTCAGCAAAGGTGGCCTCATCACTTGCACTACAAACACAATAAGTAGAGACGCACAATGATTACCTTTGTAAAACAAATTTGTATCTCTAATAATGTCTTGCCGTCCCTACCTTTCCATGCTGTTGCGCCGCTCGAAATGATTTGCGTGTACCAATGCTAATTCAGTCAATGCAAATGATTGTGTGTTGCGATAACAATATTGGAAATCCAAGTAAAAAAACCTTCTAGTAACAACACTTATTTTTTAATTGTTGTTAAAGTGTATTCTTGTGTCAATGATGAATCCTCTCTAGACGTGTAGCCTCACCTGGTTTAGTATTCTCGATGAAGCCATATTTGGGGATGGAGACGAGCCACATAAGCAGTTCCTTCCTGGGCGTGTCCTGGTCTGTGACGCTGATGTCGGCTGCGGTCAGCTGCACTCTGCCGCCCTCCTCCACCTGGACACAGTACATTGACATTTTCTATATTCCCAATACAATAAAATGGCATTAAGTTCATATTAGGACTGAATGCCTAGTAGAATTATGAAACTACTAGAACTTCCAGATACAAATGGAATTCTGATAAATTCCCACCAAAAATTTCAAGTTTTTCACCAGATTTATTAAAAGTAAGTAATGTTTCTTTTTTTTTTCCTATACTCACTTTTTATGATGTGCTAAAACTGGTTAATATAACAGTAAAAACAGTTGATAGGCTAATGCTAACGACCAAATGCTAACTGCGGTAAAGTATACAGAACCAGTCCAAAACCACCACCTTGAAAAAACTACTCATATGTAAAAAAAATAAAAAATAATAATAATAATAATATTGATATAATATATGAATAATAACAACATAGAAATAAACTGAGTAATAAAAACAAAAGTAAAAACTGTTAAATCAACAGCTCTGGGAGTTCTAGTGTAAATAAACTAAAAAGACATGCTTTGCTTTGGTTGTCATACATATCACCAATCAAATAATCCATAAGAATAAACATTACTTCCCATGAATCTCTCTACATATAACTTTATATACTTTGATTGAACGAATAACGAGTAAGAACAATTAAAGCACCTGTCACATGTATTTCAGTATTCCTAATTACTGAAAGACCCAAAATACTGAGCCCTTTGCAATTAATCTACAACTAGTGCAACGCTTAAGGTTTGCCCAATTTTGAAGTCAGTGAGTGGATGAGATCTCATAGATTTTTGCATTATTTTTTCATCAATGGAAGTCACTGCTTCCATTCAGGCACCAACTCATTTTGACAAACTTTATCTTCACTAGTAAAGCATTTTAGAACAGCACAAATCTGGTCCCGTGGTTCATTCCTATTTGTGATAGCAAACACACAAATATAACTTTAGCTCCATCAAATCTAGATCAATAGCTTCATATCATACCACATTTAGAAGCTGCTATACAATCTATATAATGTCTTTGAAGTGCCTCACAAAAGAAACGCGGTTAGCAGTAGTTTACCATGTAATGTATATTTTAGTTGATGCTATTTTAATTTTTTTAACTGATGACCTACAATCTCTATTTGCTGTTTTCCCACACTAAAAAGACACCTTATATCAGAAATTCCTAAACTGTAAATTGTGATTAGCAAAACCTTACTGAAAAATATTGCAGACACTAATTCCTGCAGTATAATTTCTCCAAATGATTAATGAAACCTTACTCTTTATGACGTAAAATTAGCCCTGAAACATGAGTCAGAGCCTCTCTGTTGTGCAGCAGAGAGGCTCTGACACATGTATTGTCTCAATTGAAGGTGTCTTGGTTGTGTACAGGATACACTACTGATAAGTCTATGTGGTGATTTTTGAATTGGATCCCTGTACCTCTTAAATCATACTTGAGCATTTGGGGTTTACTAAGTATCATCTTGGACTAATGTTAATTATTTGGGTAACTTTGTAGTGCTTTGTAGTATCATTTCTAGATGCCATGTGGACGGCACTGTTGCTCATGGTTCAGCCAAACTGTTCTTGCCCAGACGTATTTCAGGAAGTGATTTAGGCACCAACAGCTCTGGGCATGCAGAGGATTCAAATTGTGTTGATACACAATTGTCATAGGTAAAATTGGATAAACAAAAGAGTTGTGAGTAATAGCGGATCATTGTCTTTGAGTAATTCAATTTAAAGGTTACTTATGTTGAACAGTTAACCTGGACAATTTAAGAAAAAATAAGCAAGGGTTGCTTAATCTTATTCCCTAAGGTTTGAATTGTGATTTACAGTGTATGTCAACAACTATACTGAAAGTCTAAATTACAGACACAGAGGAAGATACAACAATGCACTGTAACAGTTCAACTAGCCTCTGAGGCTAGAACTTTCGCTTCTAAGCGAGAAAGCCCTGGGTTCTGGCACTGTATAGATCAATGCACTGTCTATGTGTGAGATACATTTTATTGGTCTAACATAGAGTTGTTTTTTGTGTAAACAAAAAATCTGTATCGGTTCCAAAAAAAAATCCATATTTGTTATGCCCACTTTTTGTTGTTGTACTTACCATAATCTTTTATTGGAAAAAAAAAACAAATCTGATACAAACATGTGATCAGGCATTTTGGCACACAATCTGCTGCTGTTCTAGAACCCTGTTGTGTTTGTGATATTGGGGGCTAAGTATGGAATCACTATGAAATCATAAAATCACAGGAAGAGCAGCATCCGTCCCTACAAGATCACACGGTCAAAGAATCAAGCTTAAGACTTTCTGGAATTGAAACTAGAGTGCTCATCTCTTGAACGATGCAAATAACAGATAAAGGCACTGAACTTTAAGTTTTTGAACATCTTATATGATTTGCTTCAGTATGTGAACAAAAGTACAAGTTCTACCTCGATGACGGAGCGCACAGCGACCTCCGGGGGGCGCCGTGGAGTAGAGCTGATGGTGATGGTGCACATCTGGTTGTCAAGGCGGTTGTTGTCTCCGTCGTAAACAGTGAAGTGGAAGATGTCGGTGATGGGCTGGCTCCCGGTCTCCACAGATGTGATGTACCTGCAGCATAAAGCACCTCAGTAACACTTTGTTACTCAGCAAGAAGCAACAGGCCATTGTCCATGAGTGTACAACCACATCAGGTGTCGATACATGTTTGTTCTACTAAGTCACTTTGTCCAATACCCTCATGATGCTAACATGTACAGATTCATACATACAACTATATTTTGCTTGTACTAGAATACACAGTACTTTACACTGATACTTGATTATATACTTCTTTAATATGCATGAGTTTTTGTACTCATGCTCAAGATAGAGATGTTATACTTGTTTATTTTTTATGCTAGAGTTAGAGATTTTATTTTATTTCGTATAGAGTTATTGTTCGTTTATCTTGTGCCGTGTGCTCCTCATTCTTACTGTTCTGTAACTGGTGATTCAACACTAACATTTCCCCACAGTGGGACAAATAAAGGATCTCTTAATATGAATCTATTAATCTTGATAATGGAATAATGAGTTGTGTTTAATCCTGCACGATAAACATACTTATGCATTTTTGTGTGGTCATCATATTTATGAGTCCAGGGCTGCTTTTAATCTTGTGTTATCAAATTGACCCAACACAGTGATTAAAAGAAACCCTAAGTAATTGTTCAAGCTAAATAATACTCAAGCTGAATTTGGATGATTTTTCCTAACTTTAGACCCTTTTGAATGCTGATTTATGGTATTGTTTGATATACTTTTAATGACCCAAGGGTAGCACAAGGGTTAAATACATTCCCCAACCCTTCTAAAGAGACTTGTGTAACACTCCAGTAACAGTGTCATTTCTCAGCTCTAGTCATCATCCTGGACGTTCTGTAAGGGCTGCAGACAGGACTGATCCAAAAACACGTACAATGAAATGCAGTAATCAAAATATCAACAATATTACAAATGCAAGGATTGCCTTTTTCCCAAATACGCCAGTAGCAGGTTTTAGCTTTAATTACGAACCCAAAGATGGTAGTAAGCCAATGAGAGGACCGATCATACTGGCCTGTCCAAGCAATGACTTAGTTTGACGAAAAACCACAATCACATTTCTATTATTCAGTTGGTAGAGCATTGGCTTTTGGGCCTGAAGGTCGTGGGTTCGATCCCCCCACGAGACCTACTCCAAATGCTCCCACTCATGTCTGCTGTTGTTGTGTCCTTGGGCAAAACACTTAACCCCACATTGCCTGAAGCCCCCGCTTAAAGACCAAGGCTGTGGCATTGCTGACGGAGAAGCCATCTTCCTGTGGACTCACCACCTGCCAAAGGATCAGCGAGAGACTGGTGCTATGAGCATTGGGCGCAGCTCTGATTGTCAACCCCCCGACTAATAAAGGGGTAGAAAATGAATGGATGAATGAATGAGTTTACATTCAAGTGATCATCATCTACAAACCAAAGAAAACATACAAATATATCTGTTATGGGGAGAAGAGGACAGGCACTACTAAACAATCTTCGGGACAACATACTGAGCTGCATTCCGAAGGTATGATACAGAAAAGACTCCTGTCTGACAAAAGCGCTTCAACCGATATGCGCTGAGGTTTAGGGAGTGGCAAAAGGAGACGTTAAAAGGAAATAGAACTGCTAACTTCATAATTTCTCCTACTCCAGCTCATTAAGGACGCAAAGCCACAAAGTGTCGCTCTGCGCCTGGTCTCACCAGAACGTCCAAACCGATTAGAGCCTGACCGACAAAGCGGCCAAGAGGAACACGTGTGCGCTCAGGCCTCTACGAGACTCAACAGTAAAATCTATACCATTACAACTCTTCAAAGAGCAGTCTCAGTCCTGTGCAATGTATTGTGACGTAGAATATTACTAATCTAATCCGAAACATGGGTTTTTATTGCCAACATGTACTTTGTAGTCTTTTGCTTTCCAGACTTGAAATTGTATTCTAATTTGTCAAACATAACTCATCATGAACAATAACATAATGCACTTATGAACGTCTTATTACTTTCCACATTATGGTCAAAGTATTTATGCTTTCTATTTTGCTCTTAAGCTGATTATCAAACCAGAAAGCAGAATTACATGAGTCTCTCATTTGGGTTGCCAGTTTCTTTAGTGAAATCCAGATGCTTTGGTCACAGCCTCAGCATCTATTGTGTGTGACTTAATCAGTAGATAAGACGCTGAAAATGGTTTAAATAGATTTGCAGTTATATAATAAAACTAGTAAGAGCAGAAACTACACTACTATCTTAATGACTGCCTTAAAACAAGATTTGTCAATGGGACATGCAAAATCATCTTACACAATAAATGACAATACAAGAAATTACTCCCTTGGAAAGAGAATACTGAAAAAAGTCACTTTTTTTTTTTTTGCAGTGTACTGAGAAGAAATCCAATCCATCCATCCATCTATTTTCTTCCCCTTAATCCATTTCTGGGTGGGGGGGTGGCAGTCAGAGCTGCACCCAATTCACAGAGCACCAGCCCCTCACTGATCCTCCTGCAGGTGGTGAGTCCACAGAAGGATGGCTCCTCTAGTCTGAGCTGCCTTGATCTTCAGGCAAAGTGGGGTTAAGTGTATTGCCCAATGACACAACAACAGCAGTGGGAGTCATGAAGTAGGTCTTGGTGGGATTGAACCCACACCCTTCAGGCTCAAAGACCAATGCTCTACCAAATGAGCCACTGTCGCCCCAATAGAAGAAATCCATGTAAGCAAACACAGCTATGCAATTGTAAAGAATATGAGTTCACCTGAGGAATATCCTAAACTAATTTATGGGCAATCTTTTTTCTAGTTTGATGTTGTGGTGGTACAATGACATCATTGAAAAGTGACAGAATTACATGTTTGTGCCAGAAGTTATACATATTATTGTGGATGGATCTTTTGAGAAAGCAACAAAAACCTCCAAAAAAATTAGTTTTGCTAATGTGCCTTGAAAGTATAGTGGCCGACACAAGACGTAATTCATCAGCTGATCTGAAACAAACGACCACTGTCCAAATACATCTAATATTATCTTGGCTGTTTCTTATCCCTGGGTAATCCACTCATCCTGCATGTCTTTGATAATCCAATTTGATTCAACACCTTAATCAACGTGCCCACGCATTTACAATCGATTTTAATTAGATACATTGATGCATTCTTTCTAACATCTAAGGAGGATTTCTGAGGGTGTTGTTAGTTTTGGCAGAATATATGGCATAAAAAGGTCAAACCACTTTCTATTTGCTTTGCTTTGTTGTTTGCTTCTGACTTTGTCCAGATTAGAAAACATTTGTCTCATTGTAACAGCAGAAGCATCCCTTGTCGTTGTCTTGTGTCTTCTTTTCCTCCCTAATCCCTCTAATCCTGTGGGTATCAAACCAACATCACGTCTCCTCTGCTGACGTTCAATCTCAATGGGCCTCATTCACGAACGGTTCTTAGGAACAGATTTGTACGTAAATCCTACTTACGCGGTTTTTACGAAGAAAGTGGCATTCACGAATATTTCTCGTAACCAGAATTTCTCTTGGGCAAGTACAAATCCTACGAGTCCTCAGGAGCACTCGTACGCATTCAGTGCCGACATGTTCACACGCCAGGGTTGTCCTCTTTGGTGAAGTTGAATAAAAATACAACATTCCAGTGATATGTCCGTCATATCGATGTATGTATTTATTTATTTGTAGTAATCTTTATTAGTAATCTTTATTTATATACCGCCTTTTTCACTGCAGATCTGGCCTACTTTTTAATTCATTTTGAAATGAAATGTGCCAACGCTTTATCAAATACATTGGAAATCTTGCCGTGTATTAGTGACCCCTTCCTATTTATAGGGGGCATTTCTTTATCCACGGGCCACAGAACAACGGCATATATACTGCTGCTGCAGGAGGTTACTGGGTCCGCGCTGAGTCTCTGCGCTGGTCTCTCCTATGGATCTATACGGGTCTGCGCTGGTCTCTCCCATGGATCTATACTGGTCTGCACTGGTCTCTCCCATGGATCTATACTGGTCTGCACTGGTCTCTCGGAGAGACCAGTGCAGAGTACGGGTCTAGACCCTGTCTAGACCCGTACTCTCTCTCCATACGGGTCCGTGCTGCCTGCTCCTGGATCCATACGGGTCCGCGCTGGTCTCTCAAGTCTGGTCTATGCGGTCTATCTTCGGTCCGCGCTGGTCTCTGCGCACCGGTCTCTCCAGTCAGGTCACTCCAGTCTATGCGGTCTCTCCTATAGGTCCGCGCTGGTTTCTGTGTGCTGGTCACTCCAGTCTCTCCTCGGGTCTGCATTGGTCTCAGCGCTGGTCCGCGCTGGATCTCCTCCCAGGGTCCAAAATATTTTGAGATTAATCTCAAAACATTTTGAGATTCATCTTTTAAAATAATACATAATATATTTTTAAATTAAGCTCATAACATTTTGAGATTAATCTCATCATATTCTTAGATTAATCTCATAATTTTGCTAGTTCGACTTTATTATCATAATATTTTGACTTTTAAGTCAACATTTTATAACTTTATTCTCAGTCTGGTAAAAGAAGAAAAAAGGCCTGCTTTAGGCCTGTTGCTGTTTCCTCAGCCGTCTGCACACGGCCCTGCATCCCCTTATATGGGCATTAATGGGCGGTTACTTATGCTAAGTACCTATGCTAATGAAGCACCTGGCACGCGCGCTGTACTTACGAGGAAATGGGATTCATCAATCTGAGAGAACAGCTGCGAACAATTCAGCGCCTTACGAGTGCGTTGATGAATCCCACGTAGGGATTTCTTAGAAATCTACTTAAGGACAACTTGAGAAGAAAGTTGAGTAGTTTCTTACGAAGTTATTCGTGAATGAGGCCCAATATTTACAAAGGCTTGTTCTCAAACAAAAACTAAAAAAGACAATTCAAACAGGCATAAACTCTGGCAGAGACGCATCCGCAAGGTCACACTGCACTCAAAAGAAACCACTTGACTTTCACAACTTTAGATTCAAAGAGAAAATGATTCATGGAATAAGAAATGGTCTTTATTAGTTTGAGAATTGCAAAAATGTGAGCAACAAAAATGAAATGAGACTTCAATCAATTTGTGAAAAGAGTTGTAATTGTTATATATTTTTGAAAGAAGCCCCACATTGAGCAGCAGGTGACTCGGGCCTTAAAGACAATTGAGAAAAGACAGATCTAAAGCAAAAGTACCATCAGTGCATCATATAGAGACTATAATTATAATAATAATAATAACTGGCTGTTTTATCGGCTTTATCTAGCGCTTTTTTGTACACTCAAAGACGCTTCACATGTCAATATTCATTCACTCCATACACGGTGGTGATAAACTACTACTGTAGCCACAGCTTAAATATCTCCCAGGTATCTTAATCAGTCTGTGTGGTTACATGGACCTGATCAACAGCAGACGAGACTCAGTTTTGGAAAGGAGAGAAATTAGTATAATGTTGGTGCTGGAGTTTGTACCTGATGTAATGCTGGTTGATGTCGTCCATGCTGAAGGAGGAGTACTCCTGCAACTCCTCGTGTTTTTGCCCAGACCCCGAGCGCGTCAGGATCCCGTACATAGGCACTGACACCAGCTGGATCCGGATTTGTGAGTCTGGAGACACGTCATCCTGTAGCAAAGAAATGTGTGTGAGATAGAGGATGGAGAATCATGGTACAAAGATGGAAAAATAATTGTGCTTCACTATATGTTATAATGTATTCTCTAAAAGTCTAAAGATGGGTGATGTTGCTAATTTATTTATCTATTTCAATTGTGGACATGACAATACACCACATAATACAATTACATTTCTAATAATTGTAGTCTAGTCACACAAATGAAAAGGTCAGCAGCATTCTGAGGATTTGGAATCTCGTTCGTACGTACAACAAACAGCAGCAAGTGCCCCACGATCATGCACACCCTCTCTGGCATTGCACCCCTCCCTCCTAGGGAGGAGTGCCCCACTATTTGAGAGGGTTGTCGCGCATGCGTACCTGTGTACCACTTTTGTGCACCCCTGTCTATAACCAACGACAAACTGAGAGAAAACTCAGGTAACAATGTATGTCAGATGTAGAAACAGCGCAATTCCTCACCGTGTAAGCCAGCTGGTTGCGTCGGATCACCGTGCTGCTCCTCTCCTTCACCTGCAGGGACAGTGCGGCGTTGGGGTCCGGCTGAGGTCCACTCCCCCCGCTGCCCATCACTGCAACAGTCACCACGGCGGTTGCCATGGAGATGCCGTCACTCACAGACACGGTGATGTGGTCGTCAAGGAGCGAGTGGCCGCCGTGACGGTACAGCAGGACGCTACGAGTGACGTCGCTGAAAGAGAAGACATCACCTGCAGAGACAGATGATCACATGAAGAGGTTACATTGTTATAAAAGACACATGACGATAAATGGACTCTTCAGAGCACAGGTGTCAAACACGCGGCCCACGGGTCAAACGCTGCCCGCTAGATCATTTTTAGAGGCCGCTGCAATTATTCTTAATGATTACTGTTGACTGGCACATTGGTAGATTAATATGAGCTACCATGCTCATGTTATACTTCATTTTTAGCTTATTCTCTCAAAACAACCATCATTCATTTAATTCTAAAGTTTGATTTTTTTTTTTTATATAACAATTGGCTAATCCTTTAACTTTGACTGAGTTTTAGTTCATCCAAACGAACCTGCAGTCAATGAACTAGTTTTGTTCAGAAAAATCTCCAACAGAAAATAATCTTCGAACTCAGGTTGAATTAAAGTAATCCTTTTATCAAAACTCATATTCTTATGAACACAAACTGGTGCTGATGTCTCACCTTTGTTCATCTTGTTGAGTGTGTCTGTTCGGAGCACCTCTCCATAAACAGGAGGTTCTGTCAGCTCAAACTCCAGCTCATCAGGTGCAGTGTCTGCATCACTCACCGCCAGCTGCTGACCTCCTGTGTCACAGACAGAGGACAAATGAGATATCTGCTCAGGCTAAGGCTCACATGGGGGAGGACAATGGAAATAAAAAAACACCAAATCAATACCTGAGAATGAGCTTTCTGACAGTATCATAGGAGCACATTTACTGTATATTACTGAGCTCGTGGAACAGGCAGCTTTCTGTAGTGGCAAGAGTTCACATATTTGATCATAAAACTGTTCTACCATGGCACAAATAAAATCAATAATCACCATGGAAACTTTACCCTGTTCTTTAGCCCAGATTGAGTCTGTGTTTTTCTCAATTCTCTGCAGTTGAGGAGCAGGAATACAAGTACCTACAGTAAGCTGTTCAAAAGTGCTTAGTTGTTGTTAAAAATATTCATAATAATGTCTAAGAATCGCCCCAACAATCCCAGACACAATGACAAAATTTCATATTTTTCTCAAAATCATTCAGAGTATATTATATTTCTGCAGCTAGCATCTGGATCAGCCTACCTTATAATGCAAAACTGCTTCTATCCTGACATCCGGTTTAAAACATTTAAATTGTTTGCATAACATGTTTTATGTTCTTGAGTTTACTTCTTGAGTTGTGCTTGACTTGAGTCTTTCTTATTTATATTTTTACCAAAGGCATTTTGGGAAGGATAAGATTAAATCAGACAGAGAACAAACACTACAGGGCCTTGGCTTCACAAAGAGCTGAGTCCTGTGAATGCTCCTAAGCCTTTTATTGAGGCCTAACAGAGAATCAACTTGAATGACAAGGGTTTTAATGAGCTTTGTGTGTGTGTGTGTGTGTGTGTGTATGTGTGTGCGTGCGTGTGTGCTCACCAATCGCAGCCTGTCCCCCCACGCTGACCTCCACCACAGGGTCCAGAACCTGAAAGACGGGCGGCTGCTGGTGATTGGACAGAACCAGAATTGCAAAGTCCATCTCCGGAGTGGTGTGCTCTCCGTCAGACACTGTCACACACAACACAATCAAATATGCATTTTTAATTTGACACGTCATCCGCCTTTCAGAACTCCAAAAACAATATACATTTTGAAAGCATTTCTCTATTGTAGTTCTCGGTTCTTAGTTTGGATTTAGAACAAAACAAAACTGAGAAGAGTGAAAGTCATATAGGAAGTGTATTATTAATGCAGTAAATGGTGTTATGATTGAATCTAATATCTACAGTCACTGATTAGAATAGATAAATAAATAGATAAAAAATATACATATTCACAATAAAAAATTAGGATATCAAATGAGGGAATTCAATTGGGAAACAACATGTTGCCGTAATGACTTTGCCACATTATGTCGTATAAGCTCAGTCCATTCCATTCCCAAACATTCCCAAAAGCAATCAAAGCAGAACCAGGCAGACAATGGATAGATGGACAATCTTTTGGCCCAAATTAAATGTCCATAGGCAGACTATGGGTGTGACACAACTGACACTAGCGCAACTGCTGATGAATACTCTGGTGTCTTTTTAATGATGTTCATCCTTTTATGAATGAAGGTTTTTTAATTCCACTTCAGAGTGCCTTGGAGCTCTTTGCTTTTTTTCAATCAACGAGCACTTCACCTTTTTACAGGTCAATCTGTGAAGCGTTTCCCATTTGTGCTTTTCAAATTTCAGACCTTATTCAATGCCTGTTATATTCTTGTGAAAACTCTTGTGAAAGGGGGTTGGCTTAAGCAAACAGCCTTACACTCCACAATCAATCAGACAGGACATAAAGACACACACAAACACACACATAATGGCCCAATCACTCTCCGACCACCCACCCCTCTCCCAACACCAGAACATTTAAAATTTCTTAGCAAACTGAAATCATTCCATACACTCACTGTGAGAAGACTTATCACCTCAAGGTCCAACTACTGACTCCCTCTATGCTGGCATTGACCCTCTGATCCCCGCACTGGCTCCTTGTATTTTTCCCAATGTCTTATTGCGTATTGTTTCTAAAAGTCTTAATAGAATGGTACCACCTTCCCTCCAGAGCTGTGCTCACTGCACTGTGCTCTGCAGATCAACAGCTTCTTGCTGTTCCTAGGACCAGGCTGAAGGTGAGAGGAGACGGGGTCTTCTCGGTGATAAACCACTCAAGTGCTTTAAATCCCTGCTTAAGATGCACTTTTTCTCTCTGGCTTTTACCACCAAGTTTTCATGTTATTCTATCTTTTCTTGTTCATATTTGACGTGAATAATTGTTAATGTTTTACACTTCAGTCAGTAAGCCTAGTTTATTTAAAACATTTCTATAATGAATCCTATGCAAATAAATCCATCTAATTCAGTTCAGTGGTTAGCACTTGTGCTTCAAAGCAAGAAACCCTTGTGGCTTTTCTGTGTGGAGTTTGCATGTTCTCTCCATATCTGTGTAGGTTTACCCTTCCATTAAAAACATGGGTCTGGTATGAGCCATCACTGTGTGAGAGTGGAAATGTAAATCGCTTTGTGTCAAATTGTAAAGCGCTTTGAGTTTCTGGTCTGTGAAAGACAGTTTTTTATCTAGTTTTAAAAAAATAGGACAACCTTACTCAGTCAAGAGAGTTACATCAAACAGTGACCTCCAAGTTTGCACAATATAACAACTTTTCAAATCAGATCAATACAGAATATAGTCTGATTAGTTCATAATCATTTTCTTTTACAAGACTTCTTCTTTTGGGACAAACACCATGTATAATTTATGATAAAATATAGGTATCCAAGCTTCAAAAGGTCCCATTGTTTGCTCTTTTTTCAGGCTCAATAGTGCCGTCACATATTCACACCATGTCACGTCCTTCGTCCCGGAGGCAGAGGCTGAGGATGTTGGGGTGGATGCTTCCATCTCCCTGGCTGAGGTCACCAAGGTGGTTGGCAGCCTCCTTGGTGGGAAGGCTCTGAGAGTGGATGAGATCCGTCCTGACGATCTAAAGTCTCTGGATGTTGTAGGACTGTCTTGGCTGACACGTCTTTGCAACATCGAGCGGCGATCAGGGGCGGTGATAATGGAGTGGCACCTCTCTATAAAAAGGGGGACCGGAGGGTATGTTCCAATTATTGTGGGATCACACTCCTCAGCCTCCCCGGTAAGGTCTACTCCAAGGTACTGGAGAGGAGACTATGACCGATGGTCGAACCTCGGATTCAGGAGGAGTAGTGTGGTTTTCGTCCCAGGTAGTGGAACGCTGGATCTGATACTCAAGGGTTTATGGGAGTTCGCTCAACCTGTCCACATGTGCTTTGTGGATTTGGAGAAGGCGTTTGGCCGTGTTCCTCTGGGAGTCCCTTGGGGGGGTTCTGGGGGGCCTCCGCCAAGGCTGCCCTTTGTCACCGGTTCTGTTCACTGTCTTTATGGACAGAATTTCTAGGCGCAACCAGGGGCCGGAGGGGGTCCGGTTCGGAGATCACAGGATTTCATCTCTGCTGTTTGCGGATGATGTTGTCCTGTTGGCTCCAACGACCTGCAACATGCACTGGGACGGTTTGCAGCAGAGTGTGAAGTGGCTGGGATGAGAATCAGCACCTCCAAATCCAAGGCCATGGTGCTCAACCGGAAAAAGGTTCCTTTCCCTCTCCAAGTGGGTGGAGAGGTCCTTCCTCAAGTGGAGGAGTTCAAGTATCTTGGGGTCTGGAGCGTGAGATTGACAGGCAATGATAAAAAAAAAAGAAAGAAAATCACAAAAATCACAAAAAGCTGGTGATTTGAGAAAAAACGTGTGAAAATGTGACATGTCTTTGTCGTGGCAGGAGCAGCAGTGCATGAGTTATGGTGCGTTTAATGAGCAAACGCCGGAATGTCTCATTGGAAAATCAGACGAGAAACATTTCGCTCATTTTCTTTGTGATGGATTAGCTTCATTATAATTGCGTTTTGAAATTATATAAATGGCCATAATAGCAAATTATACCAGGATCCAGCAGGACGGTTAGCACTAACATTCCAGGCGAGAGAAGCACAATGGGAAAAAAAGATAATTTCTGCAAGACGTTTGAATTAGAGGCGAACAATTCAATATTAGAACTAATTAAATGCATGCAATTCAGCCGTAATTTCAGGAAGCTTTTCAATCATAGTAGAAGCGAGTGGGCAACAATGCTGTGCTCAGAGTCTATTGGGAATTACAGCACGTAATGTAGATGTGACAGAAATAATACTGTTCTCATATAACAAAGACCATCCATCCATCCATCCATTTTCTACCCTTTAATCCATTTCTGGGTCAGGGGGGTGGCAGTCAGAGATGCCACCCAAGTCTCATAGCACCAGCCCCTCACTGACCCTCTGCAGGTGGTGAGTCCACAGGAGGACGGCTGCTCTCTGAGTGTGAGCATACTATAGCCTTGATCTTTCAGTGGGGGCTTTGGGCAAAGTGGGGTTAAGTGTCTTGCCCAAGGACACAACGACAGCAGTCATCAGTGGGAGTCGATGGAGAAGGTGCAGAGGTGGGAATTGAACCCACGACCTTCTGGCCTTAAGGCCAATGCTCTACCAACTGAGCTACTGTCGCCCCAATATATAACAAAGACAATGCATTAAAATAGTATCTTATTCTTAATCAATGCTCTCTTAGTACTATGTTCGGAATACTTTCATATTAACTTAAGACATATTGTAAAAGGTTAGAGGAATAAAATAGCTTTACATTTAGTGAAATAATCATATCCACCCTCATTTGAAAAAGAAAAATCAAACACAAAACACATTTTCTTCTCAATTGATCTTGTAACCAGAGATATCACTCAGATATCAAATGCCTATGTTTAATGCATGACTGCTGCATTCTTTAAATACAGTGGTAAATGAGTAAAATAAGTCAGCAGGCTTGAATCTTCTGTCTTTTTAGATTATGACCAAGATTTTATGAGTTCAACAAATGTAATAGTGACCCACATGTGTCACAGATAGATAACTCCATGACGATATGAGTAGCTTTTCTAATTTGATCCATAACTACATTAACATATATTATTTACTTGCAGTGTTTAGAATGTAGTATTAAATATGCTATACCCGAATTATTTTCTAATGAGTTCATAAAAATGCTTATTACTACATACAAGTTGTATTAAAATCCGTAATTTAATAAAAAAATTGAGCTAATGGATTCAGCTTGGGTATGAATTCAGGCCGTAAAAAGTGCTGAGTAGAAACTTAGCGTGACACTGCTCGAGCAGGCTGTCTCCTCTAGCGTCTACAGCGCTGGTAAACAAGAGCAGAATGGAGCTGATGGCGGCTATGGCTCGTCTGGCTGTAACTGTATACATGGCAAAACAGCCCAAACGACGCAACAGTGTCAGATCGCAAATAAAACTAGATGGCTCCGTGGGATGAGAGCGTAGGGGAAATGAGAAGCCTGTGAGCGAGTTGGGGTGCTAAATATTAAAACTGAAAAAAACCTTGCAGAAACAGGTATAGCTCCTTTAAGAATTTATTGTTATGTGTTTGGCCTTTTAACGGTTGTTTAGAATTTGTGTTTCCAACCTCTATAACAGTTGAAACAAGACAAAGTATAATGATTCAACTTCAAAATTCACAAGGATCCATGTTGGGAATTATTTGAACTTTTTTTCTTAAATCGTTCCATTGTCCATTGTTCACAGTCGTTGGTGCTCTACAAAATAAATGTTGTTTCCAGTATTTTGAAAGGTGCCATAAAACACAATACGCTGGCACCTCAACTTGGACCTGGCTTCATCAAGCAGCTCGTAGCTAATTGTGCTACATTACTGCTAATTATGTCTGGAGCAATCATTTATAAAGTCCATATTCTTTCAGATGGTTGATGTGGTAATTAGTATTTAATTAGGCCTCTAAAATGGCTTTTCATAAATGGTACTGCATTAACAGTTTAAACGGTGACCCAGGTCTGACAAATTGGTGTCCAAGACTAAAGTTCTAGTGAGGTTGATTAAATTAAACTAATATTGATTGATTGATTGATTTTAATCATTCTAGCAGAAATTTTACAATCATACGTATTTGAAATATTTACATTCCTTAGTTTAAATTACTTTTTATATGTTGACTTTTGTGCTTAAAGTATATATGTACAAATGCAAATAAATAAACATAAATACAGTATACAATCAGGCAACAATGTTTGCCCTAGTTTAACCTGTTGTATATCTACAATATCAATATCTATGTATTTACAAATGCATTTCTATTTACAATTTGTTAGCTCGAAATGGAGTGGGAAAGAATTAAAAACTTGTAGACTCCCACCCATAGACTGTGAATATTATCGGACGTAGTCATGCCTATTTCCGCCATTCAAACTAATGTGCCACAACTTTTGCTATTTATGAGCAGTTTCAAAATGGCCGCGGGGGCTGGAAAATGTGAAAAAAATGCATCTGCACATGCATTGTAAAGCTCTTTCATAATCCAAAACATTTTTATAATTGTGTGCTCTTATTATTTGTTTAAAAATGTGTTTGTGTTGAAAGTGTCAGTATTAAGCTGGTTAAGATACCAGTGTTAATTATACTAGTTGCAAAACTTTAAAACATTACATATAAGATCTAAGTAAGTAAGTAAGTAAGTAATCTTTATTTATATACCGCCTTTCACAGACCAGAGTCACAAAGCGGTTTACAATTGTTATTCTTGGGCAATTGTTCTCTCACTCCACACAGAGATGGGAGCGGGGTCGCCAGTACAGGAGGCGCATGCCAGAACTATTGTACATATTTTTAGTGGTAGGGGAAACCGGAGTGCCCGGAGGTAACCTACGCAGATATGGGGAGAACATGCAAACTCCACTCAGAAAGGCCCTGGTCCGACAGGGATTTGAACCCAAGAAGGTCCTGGGTTCAAATCCCGGTCGGACCAGGGCCTTTCTGAGTGGAGTTTGGATGATGGGGTGGGGTGGAAGATGAGGCCAATAAACATCTGAATTTCAATTCTTGATATTGATTGCCATGATATAAGAAAAAGCCTTGAAGAAAAACTGAAAACTTTTGTTCACTCGATAACAATCACCTTCTTCATCATCATAAGAGCTCCAAATGTTCCAATGAATCACTTCCTGATCCTCTCCTCAGTCAAACACTATGCCAACATGCATGTGCAAACATGTATTAAACAGCTTCTAAAGAGGTGCAAGTGAGTCATCAGGGATTTAAAAAGTTTTAAAATATTCAGTTTCAATATTTGACAAGTATGGCACTCTTCAATGACCTGAATAAGACCTTATGTCGAAACAGCTTCTCCTATACATTTATTTCACAAAGAAACAAGTGCCTCAGACATCTACTTTTGACTTATTACTGTATCTTCCAATTTCCACTGTTACCATTAGATGCTGATGCTGTCACAATTTAGTTTGAAGTTCTACATAGACATTATTTACATTTTTTAATATCACAAAGCAAAGGTCCTCAAGATCATGTTTACAATACATACTATACAATAATCTTTGTCTGTGCATACATACAGTGATCTGTATTATGGGTTTATATAAACGTAGAACAGGAACAGAACAGTAATAATAATGATCTAATTTGTCATTTAGTCCAAAATAATAGTTAAAATTAATACTTTTCTAGCTCTTACATTTGCTTCGTGGTTGTTGCCCTTTACCACAGTGCAAAAATACATGTGACTTTTGTGTGCCCTTTAGAAGTTGTTTTTGCGGTGAAATTAGTGTCTGAGCTTTAAAAGCAAGAGCGTCTCTACTTTGGTGGAAAGTGGGTTTGGTGCCGGCTTGTGATAAACAGTCCTCATGTCGTTTAAGGGAAGGGAGAAGTCACAGGAGACAAACAAACAACCATTTTAACTTGTATGTACATGTTATACGTTAACATTACCCCATGATGTTTATAAGACAAAGTAAAGACTTTTAAGAGACCATCTTAGATTATTGAACAATCATAAAAATAATTAATATAATAATAATAGACAAAATGCATGACTTTCTGTCCTTAAATGAGATTATTACCAAATCCTACAGTGATATCTTGGACTAATACATGAAATGAAAATGCCTACATGATCTGATAATAGCATATACAGTTTAAATTAAAAAGGCAAGATTAGATTAGATTAGGATGTTTGAAAGTTACCTGTGAAGTAGATACTAAGAGACTCTGGCAGACCTGTGCAAAACAAAAGACACATATGAAGATGAAAAAGCAGATATATGTGAAAGTACTGTGTTACAATATTGTGAGCCTGAGCAGAAGGTGATTCAAACAATGAAACATTTTCCTTCTGAAGCCGCAAACCCAGATTAAGTCAAACTAAAGAGAGCTTTGATGTGGGATTAGGATTATCTGTAACACGTCTGAATGAAGTCACTCCAAATCTATTATAGCTGCTGCTGGCTTTAACGTTTGAGCAGAAAAAGTAGTGAACAGTATGAAATCACACTTATCATTTGAATCGAATATATTTAATATGCAAATTGTCAGATATGTTGGCTTTATCTTCCTCAGTCACATAACTGAAATACAACAACATGAGGATTTTCAGGCCACAGTAGAGCCACAGGATCTGTCACTGGGACCCAACTGTTAATGTCTCTAATATATTCAAACATTTGCAATAACAGGATTTTTGGTACTTCACATTTTAGACTGTCAAATCATTTCTTTAAGGGACAGTTTGTGTTTGCCTCTAGAGGCTTTGTAACATCAGAATCACAAACTAGGAATTATCTTTGGCTCATGGTGCAAACAAGTTATAAAGAGAGACATAAAATTTGAAGCTTTTTGACAGTGTTATTTTTCAATTCAATTCAATTCACTTTATTCTTGTATAGCCCTAAATCACAACAGTAATTATCTCAGATGACTTAACATTGACACCATTGAAATCGCCAACACAGATCAGCGACTCGAACAATTCAATCACAAACAAATACAGAACACATAGGTATTGGACCATAGGGAGAGACCAATGTTGATGAATGTTGATAAATGTCCATACATGTTGTAGAATGTTAGAGTGTCCTGGATCATCATCACAGTCCTTCTTGTTAGACCACTAACAGTCTACCGTCTTGCATCGGCAAGGGAAAACGGAGAAAACTGAAAAGTGAGAAACCTCAGGGAGATCCACATGGACGGACGGACTATAGATCCAGGACCAAAGCTACAGAACGAGGGCCGAGGCCATGCGGCATGTTGGTGCTTAGATCACCGGTTTACTCAATCTGTTATGCATTCAGCAGCAGACATACTGTCCATTCAAGTAGCAATGGATAAACATGTGTAACAGATCATGACACTTTCAGGATCAGTAAAATATCCCCATCGAGTGTTAGAAGGACATTCTGTGTCAACATCTTAACTGAAGGCACACAAACAAAAAGTTGTCAGGAGAAATTATTAATAATCAGATATGGAGCAAATGCAGCAGTCTGCAAAATGAAACCCACAACACATGTTTGTGAGGTCGACCAATCACGGAAAAAGTGACTTGATCAGTGACTCGCAGAATGTGCCAATCAGACTTTTTTCATTAAGCACTTAAGTGGCTTTTCACCTCTCCCTCGCTACTTAAGGGTTTGTTTATCTGTGTGGGAATCAGGGAGTGAAATCCAAATTGAATTAATTTAAATCACACTTAGGTTAATAAGTGAAATAATAACAACGTTGAAAAGATGCAAAGTTAAATGCTTATTTGGCTAAATTTAAAACAATAAAAAAGAAACTGTTCAAGATGAAAACAAAAATGTCTGTGTTGCACCGGTTACAGAACAGTAGCAATGAGGAATAACCATACTAAAAAAAATAAAAAATAAACATATCTTCAACTTTAGCATAAGGAATAGCAAGTCTACAATACTGTATATTGTAGTGCAAGAAATATAGTATTTAGTTGTATGTATACATCTGTACATGTTAGCAGCACTCTGGGACAAAGTGACTCAGTAAAATGACAGTGGACACATGTGGTTCTATAGTGCACATTCTTATATTATAAAATTTACCCTGAACTGTAGGTATCTCTCGGCCCTGTACACACACGTATAAGTGCTTTTCTCACCGGTGAAGGAGTATGTGTAGAGCTCCTGCAGGTGTGAAGGGGCGTGCGGAGGTCTGTAGATGATCTTTCCCTTGTCCACATCAGACTGGGTGAAGCGGGACACGGCGGAGTATGGGCTGTCGCGGTGCTCCAACACTCCTACAAACACAGATGTGTATTATATTTATTAAGGTTTGCATAAATTGGACTGGAGGAGAGTTTTGCTCATGAATGCGTTTGGTTCTTTACCGTGTCCCAAAGGCAGAGGTTTGGTGATGTTGTAGATGAGTTTGTCACTGGGAGTTTCAGAGTCAACAAAAGACAGAGCTGCAGCAGTGATCTCAGTGACCCGATCCTCAAGAGCCTGAGGCAACAACAGAAGAATCATTTATTATATTGAAATAAACAAAAAATCTGTTTGTTTTACTTGTCATATACAGAACATTATTTATTCTAAATTTAACTTTCTTTTAACAGGAAAGTCCTATTGAGATTAGGAACCTCTTTATCAAGGGACAAACAGTCCTACTGCCATATGAAGCAACTCAGACTCTGGGGAGCACAGGGACTGGCCTCCTGCTGGTTCTCAGAGTCAGAATTAAACATGGGAGGCTGCATTTCAGATTCATGCAACTAAAATCTGGAACAATCTTCCTGAAAATGTGAGACAGGCCTCTTCACTGACAGTGTTCAAATCCAGGTTAAAAACAGTTCTGTTTAGCTGTGCATACAACTGAGGGATTTAATGTTCACTCTTTTTTCAATGTACTGTGATTATCTATTATTTTAAGGCCACTTCTGTTTAGCGTAAAAGGTTTTGTTTGAGCTCTTAGAAACAAAACATGTTGGAGACCCCTGCTCTAGACACATTCCAGCCTTTGGAGCCCCAGATAGAAGTTTCTTTGCTGTATTTCAAAATCCACTGCTGTTCCAAAACAGTGCTTCCTGACACATGTACACACACATACCGTGATCTGGAGCTCGCAGTCTGGGGCGAGCTGAGGGAACCCGGGCAGCTGAGGCAAGACTCCGATGGTGAAAGTCTGGGGAACACTCTGGAGGTGTGGAGCGGCGTCTGTGGAGACCTAGAACACAGTTTTACACATGTTTGTCCCAGATCTTTTAAATCATGAATGAAAACTCTCATATATTCTGACCACAGAAACAAGTGCATGAGAAAGACACATGATACAAACAAATATTTCTAATCTAGATGACTAGATCAGATGTTTTTGATTTCAGTAACTTTTGACAAGTTTTAATTAATGCCGTTGATGGATTGTTTCAGTTTAGTTTCATTTCAAAGGATTATGGAACATCTACAACAACTTAATTAGGGCTGCATCGGTCGATACAATACTACACATGACACAATGCAATATGTATCTCAATACACTGGACATTCTATTCAATGTGATTTGATATTATAGATTTCAAAACCTCACAATACAATTCAGCAAAAAATAAAGGCTTTTGGCCTCTTATCTAATGATCTGCCACGTTTGAAGGCGCTTTGTGTTGCCCTGTGTGGGAAAGGCGCTCTACAGATAAAAGTTAATTGATTAATTGAACTAAAACACAACACTATTGATGCATTTATGTCATTTATTGAAGATAAATAATTTAAAGTCCAAATATCCCAAAAAAAAAAAGGTAGCTTAGGGCCTGGATCTATAGCATGTCCGTCCGTGTCGAAGCGGATCCCTCTCTCAATGTGGGTCTCCCCGAGGTTTCTCACTTTTTTTCCCACAGGGTTTTTGTGCGTTTTTCCTTGGTGATGCAGGAGGATCTGTTGGACAGTTAGTGTCCAACTAGAAGGACTGTGGTGATGATCCAGGACACTGTAACATTCTACAACATGTATGGACATTTATCAACATTCATGGACATTGTCCTCTGAGACTTCTGTCGTGATTTAGGGCTATACAAGAATAAATTGTTGTTTTGACTGTGTTCTGAGGAAATTAATGGAAAAGAAAGAATAAAAAAGCAAACAAAATTTTACTCATTAGAACTAATAAATAATAAAAATAACTAATAATAATTCTTTATTTACCACACCCCAAATAGAAATATGTTGTTCTCTTTCCAAGTGAAATGAGTAACACAACATTATAAATCTTTTATCTTCTTTAATATGTAATAGTTAGAATTAAACCGTGAGGATGCTGTGCTGTCATTGTGCTTTTATAAAGTTAAATAATCTCTCTGAGTGGCCACAGTCAAAGCTATTCCAGAGAGAAAGCACGTCGACACTTTTGGGTCAGTCTCAAAGCTGAATGTATCAATCTAATTACTAAAAAACGTCACTATAACTCACCAGAGTGCCTTAGCGCTAGCACAGACAGGAAGTAAACGAGCCGTTCTTAGTTTAAAGGAAATTACGTAACCCCTCCTCGTGCATATAGCCCATTAGCAAATCTTACAATAACACCAAATCTAATCAAATCAAGATAAATATCACAACATAAAATCACGTTTTATCTCATGTAACTTAATCTTGTTGCTTATTTTCAATGTAGATGTGGAAAAATCAGGACTAAGGTCGTTCGAAACCCTTGGATAAAGCGTGCGCAAGCCACTAACACTGTACAGACTGAACAAACTGCACTCCCATTCTCTCTTGTGACCGCGGCGCTGCCTTAATAGTCTTGTCACCCTTTGTGCATAAGGTAGTGCATACTCTCTGCCGCTGCATCTTGTACATTTAAGAAGCCAATTTAAAAGCAGGCCTATCCCTCTCCGCCGCCCTGCATGTTCCTGTCATCCCGCTAAAAGGGGAAGAGAGACGAGAGCCACGTCATTTTCCAGTTGTGTCAAAGTCGGTGCGAAGTTTGCTGTAGTCAGTGCTTGGGCGCGGTGCTTGGTCAGCTTGCGTGTATTGATCTGAAGGATTGTGAATCAGGAAGCAGCAGAAAAAGCCTGGTTGCATATACATTTCACATTTGTGAAGCGTAAGGCGAGAGCAGAGTCGAAAGCACTCCTCGTACTTTTGAAAGCGCCAAAGTAGCTCTGAAACAGTTTTTGGTTTCAGGCTTTATCATCGTTGTTTTACACTGATCCAGAACATAGCAGAGGGGATTCATGGTCCGAACCAAACAGTTCAAGCATAAATCCACAGAATGAAATTGGAAAAATGCTACTAAAAATTCAGAATTTCACTTTGGACCAGAGAAGAGAAAATGCACCAAGCAAACAAATCCAAAGAATACACACAATACACATGTTGATATTCTATTTTTTTTTTTTCCCCCAGATGTACATATAGTTTAATAACAACGAATCTTAATAAATTACATTTAAATGCATCAATATTCTATCACAATGTATGGAATTGATTTGGATCGTATTGTGTTTTGTGAATCGAGATGTGTATCGTATCAGCAGGCTCAGAAAGACACCACTCGGAAAGCTGAATATTTTCAGAGAATCTACTACTCTGAGCAATTAATCTCGTCATCCTTTGAGTGGTACAATGAAACAGATTACACTTCGCAGTCTATAGAGAAAGCTTCATGTCTCCATATTATGCCATTATTCTGCAGTTCACTTTGATGTGTATATTACAGGCATTGCGAGCCTTCAGATAAGACTTGCGACTTTTCTTTGCTTCTAAAGGCTGCACATTTGTCTCGTTTCAAAATGACAGCCTTCCTTTGAGCCTGATACAAAAGCACTGATGTCTAATTGAAGAACGAAGAGATCTTTGCGCTGCGTCTAAAAGAAAAAAGGACTGAACCGCGTACTTAGGAATAGACGTGTTTGGAGAATGTTAGGTGGTCAAAGCAGCAGTGATAATGTTGATAAAGACATAAGGAGTGATGGAGCGTGAAGGCTAACTCAGATATATGAAAAAAGCGGTAGTGTAACCATTGGTAATCGGACAGAACTCGAAATAATGTGGATGTAATTGTAATAGTGGGCATCTGCTGTGATTATTTAAAATGTTTCTCTTGAGTCTGACTACAATGGAACACCAGGTCTTTAATTATTATTTTTGAGAATGGATGTTGCCATAAAAAACTACAAAATACACCAACTCATGAATTGTGTTAATATGGAAAGCAATTAATATTTACAGTTTCTTGAAATGGACACATTTATTATCTCGGCCAATATCATATTCTACAGCCACTTTCACATTGTTTTTGGATCTGTGTCAACTGTATGAACGTGAGACATGTAGAGCTATTGTACAATGCAGGTTGAGAAGGCATCATCAATGTGAAGAGCACTTATCCACATGGTTCCATATAAAGATGTACTGTATCCATCCATCCGTCCATTTTTTTGTTTTCAGCGCTCTGCTGTTACTAGGAATCAGAATCAGAAGTCACAGACTATGCTAGTAAAAATCAGCATATACTTCTAAGATATAAAAATTAAAATTATTACAACTTACTATATAAGCACTTGGTGACAGCAGTAAAGTGACACTATGAAGGACAGTAAAGTGCCTTTATAACAAGTATGTAACAAGAATGTATGAGTATGTGAGTTTACGATGGGGTTAAAATACAGACATCAACTTTACCTAGCACCTATAGTGTTACGTTACTTTTTCACGTGGAGCGGAAGCATTTCTCCGTCCTTTTTTGGTCACAAGATGCACTCGTATGGATTTTTCAACACGCTTGTTAGAAAGATAAGGATGCTGTTGGGGCTGTTCCATCAGTGAGGTGACATATCGATACACAGGAGAAAGTAATGAGTGAACGAGACAGCTCTGAAAACAGTGCAGGAGGAGACTGTGTCTTCAGGTGAGTCAAATAAGACCGACAGGTCCTGAGGTCACGTTGTAGTTTATTGTAATAGTTGGAGACAATTTTGGGCAGTTGTGTTGATGCGTAAAGCTCCACAGTGTGCTGACACACAGGTCATTCAGGGATCTGTCTGGACCCTGGAATATTGTTGCACATTGTTGCTAGAGGGAGATACTGTATACACCTAGAGTCTCCATGTCGTTCTGGGTGAGGATCCACATACAAGCATGGACCTTCAGAGTGTGTACAGAGTGGGTCCATCACTGAAGGCTTTATTTTTACAGGCCATATTATTAGGATACAATTTCACGTATTTGTACATTGTATTAGGGCTGGGCGATATGGCAACAAAGTAAAATCTCGATTTTATTTCCTGCTTTGGACAATTTCGATTTTAATTAAAGTCACCAAAGACAGACTTTGCCCTTAAAAATATGTTTTAATCTTTCCGCACAATATTCAAGTTTCAAAACTATTTTTAATTTGTTTCCCCCAATACGTATTAGAAAAGTCTTGTACAGACTGTGCTGATATTAAAAGTATAATTCATGTGCTTATGGAACTCTCACAATATCCTTCATTCGATTTCACGATTTTCACATATTTCACAAATTCAATTTTTTCATAAGCCAATTAATTGCCTAAATTAGATTTATTGCCCAGCCCTACATTGTATGATCAAGATTTCGGCCTTAGCCTTACTGCAATATATGTACACTTTTACATTTGTAAGAAAAAACTATTTTCAATTTCTTAATGTTGTTATAAAATATAGCCTATAACTTTAGAATATCTAATAACAGCCAAATGAGGTCTTTGTGCGTCAATCCTTCCATCTCTTTGCATCAGCATACACCTCCAATATGACTGTATCTAAAATATATGGTTGGGTCGATATGACTTGACGTGACCACAAGCATGGCGCGCCTCCTTGGTCAATGCGGATCACTGCATTTGAGTTCACAATACATCATCCTTTATTACACACAGCTTCTGTATTTACCCACATTACGTTTGCCCTGAGGGACACACAATTACATGAAATGTTAACATGAAATGTTAATTGTCTGTCCCACAGGGCATCTTAGGAAATGTAGGAAGCAGCTGATGGAAGCTGGTAATGTGGATCTCCCAGAGGTTTCTCACATTTCTCCCACTGGGTTTTACAGTTTTTCCTTCTGTTGGACAGCAAGTGTCTAACAAGAAGGATTGTGGTGATAATCCAGGACACTGGATTCATTCTACAAAATGTCCGGACATTTATCAACATTCATGGACATTGGTCTCTCTCTACTGACCAATACATATATGTATTTTTTGTG